CTCCCCGACACTGGTGCCGTATGACCTTTAGGATAGGAGTTGTCTTCTGAGATTTTTTTGGGTTAAATCTGAACACAGGGAACATAATTGGAATGTTAAGGGAATGTCAGCTCCGTCAGTGAGGGGCTGGAGGGGTAACAGAAACTCTATTCAAACCTGGGAGAGGCATCATGGGAGTGAGGTTCAAACAGGCTTGCAGCTCACGGAGCAAGAAGCAAACACTGAACCTGGGGTAGAAGAGCAGTGTAGCTAGAGCCCATGGGCTGAGATGTGGACTACAGCCAATGTGAACCAGCTAATGTCTAGTGGTGACCCCTTGAGGACACAGGTGATGGTGCTGGCCCTGACACTCGCAAATGTTGAAACCATCAATAGTTACCTTCACTAGCTGGCAATCACGGCAACAGTCTACCAGGATAGCTTCTCATGGAGTGGGCCTCAGCTGGCCAGGAGCTGCTCTGTATGGCTTCTCTGAAGGTCAAGGGTTCAGTGTGAGCATGTGCAATCATCTGCCCTGAGAGCTCGGCCAATGTGACGTGAGGTCACTGCTAGGAAAGGAAACAGCCCATCCCAACAATGGGAGTCCGGTGGAGAGCATGAGGCACTGACCGGCTCACTCACCTCCCTTAGAGGTTCGCTGCATGGTTCAGTATCCAGTGCTCAACTACACATCTGTAATCCCTTTCGGCTGAGGCAGGAGGTTTGAGAGTTTGAAGGCCAGCCTGGGCCGTATAGTAAGGTCCTATCTAAAACAATCGAGGACTAGAGAGATGGCTCAGTGGTTAAGAGATCTGACTCCTCTTTCAGAAGACCCAGGTTCGATTCCCAGTACCCCTATGGCAGCTCACAATGGCCAGTTCCAAGGGGACACAATACCCTCTCTGGCCTCCTCAGGCACCAGGAATGCGCATGCTGCACAAAATGCAGACAAACACTCATACATATAAGATAAAGATAATTAAAATCTCAAAAAGGATTTTTTTGGGGGGAGGGGTTGGTATTAGGACAGAACTCCCAATAATTTCTGAAATTGCCCTAAACACATTTCTGCTGTTTTGTATTAGGAATTTATTTGAAGCAATCTTCTCAGCATTACTGATTATACAATCAAAATATTGATCCACTCTGAAAAATGTTGAAGTTCTCCGTGTCTTGCAACATCAAATATTCAGCCAAGATTTAATTCTTTACATAAAAAAATGCACAGCTATTTCATTAGTATGCAAATTAGCTTTTGTCTTGAATAAATGTTAAAATTATTTATATACACACACACACACACATCAAAGAACTGTTATAAAACTTCTTTTATAACTTTAAAAAAATTCTTTAGGGGCTGTAGAGATAGATGGCTCAGTGGTTAAGAGCACTGACTGCTCTTCCAGACGTCCTGAGTTCCATTCCCAGTACCCACATGGTGGCTCACAACCGTCTGTAATGGGGTCTGATGCCCTTTTCTATGTCTGATGTTCTCTTCTGCCATAGTGGCGTACGTCCAAATAGAGTGCTCATATAAATAAATAAATATATCTTTAAAAATCATTCGGATTTACTGTTTACACATTTGATCTGCATGCTTCCATATCTATACCTGGAGACAAGGAAGACTTCCACAGGTGAAAAGGACTGTCCAGTGAAGAGCTGAAGAAGCCTCTCTCTAGATAACGCTCTGTCCTTGGTCCTCACTGGGGTGTCCTGAGGATAGGGGTCACGTCTTACCTTGGGGACCTAAGAAGTGTTTGTTACACCAGACTTGGCAAAAAGCCCCCTACCTGGGGGCTATGTGATCTGCCCCAGCACTTTGACCTCCGTAAACTTGTTTCCTAACCTGTAAAATGGGAACAAGACTGATCATTTGCTTAGAGGACAGAACAGGAATAACACATGTGCAGATCACAGTCCCACGGAGATTAAAACCCAGCAAATGCTAGTCACTGCCATTACTGCCCCGCTCGGTCTGGCATGATCTCTTAAGCTCCATGTGACCCTGTCTGTACAACTGTAGACACTGGTGTCACCCCACCCCCTTTTTAAAGATTTGTTTTTTATTGTATGTATATGAGTACACTGTAGCAGTCTTCAGACACACCAGAAGATGCATTGGCTCTCATTACAGATGGTTGTGAGCCACTATGTGGTTGCTGGGAATTGAACTCAGGACCTCAGGAAGAGCAGTCAGTGCTCTTAACTACTGAGCCATCTCTCCAGACTGATGTCACCCTTTAAAAAAACTATTGCAGTTTGTTCATCTGTTTTCCCTCCCTTCCTCTGTCTGTCCGTCTGTCCGTCCGTCTGTCTGTCTATCTCACTAATAGCCTTGGCCATCCTGGAACTCATTATGCAGACAGAGGCAGTCTCCAACCCATTGATATCCACCTACTTCTGCCTCCTGAGTGCTGGGATTGAAGGCATGCACATTCTTGTGGTGTCAATTTTCATTTTAAATTCACATTCTAATTTGTACATCTATTGATCAAGTTTTAAACTTTGAGGACCAGAATGTGTCTTCTGTTTTACGGTAGGTAGAATTCTATGATGACCCCTACTTCCTCTCTGCCCCCCCACACACAAGTGACTGTGGAGATCAGGCCCCACTGATAGGTTCTGTCAGAAGGCACAGTTAAGTGATGGTTAAGGAGCCTTCCCTAGTGGGCCTGACTTAATCACATGAAGCCATTAAGAGCCCAGAGTTTCATAGAGAGATTGGCTGGCGGGTGTGAGGCATAATTACTCGGGAGAAACAGGTGCTGGTGTCCTTTTGTGAAGGGTAGTTTGATAGTGTCAATGTATGTTTCAAAAAGTTGGAATAAAGGATTTTGAGCTTTTTCATCATAAAGAAGAGGTAATTGTTTAAAGAGTAGATATTTACCCTGCTATGAAACCACAGTACTTGTATCCAAGCAGTGTAAAATCCAATTAAAAAGCTGTGTCTGAAGAGATGGCCCAGTGGGCAGAGAGAGAGAGAGAGAGAGAGAGAGAGAGAGAGAGAGAGAGAGAGAGAGAGACCTGGGTTCAGACCCCCCAGAACTGCATTGTGTGCACAGGTGGAGAGTGGAGAGCCTGGAAGCCCAGGGGCTAGCCGGCTAGCCTGCTTGGGGGTGCAGCCTGAGAGAAGGAAGAGATCTAGCCTCGAGCAAGCTGGAAAGCAAGGACAGGCATGCAACCTTGTCTTCAGGTTGCCGTAGCTACAATGGGGTAGGTGTACGTCTGTGCTCACACACACACACACATGTGCACATATCATAGTATACATGAAGTAATAACTAAAATAATCTTTGAGAAATGCATGAAAGAAAGAAAATGGGAGTCAAACAAAATCACTACTACAGCAGAAACAAGATGAGAGCTTTCTCCAGACGGAGAGAGACTGAAAGCACAAGACGCCTTGAGCTTCTATGCTGGAGAGAGAGGCAGGTTTTAGGACCAGGCAGTGAGTGGTACCCTCCTGCTGACAACCAAGGAGGGACAGGACTTCAGTAGATGGCAAGGAAGCAGGTTCTGCCAACACAAACTGAAAGAGCCTGGAAGCTGCCCTGAACTCAGGGACACCAACGCCCACACTCTGGCTCTGTTACCCTAGTCTTTCCCACAGAGCTCTGCATCCTGGGTCGGCCTTGTCTGATGTCTCTGTGTGCAGACATTTTTGTTGTGTACCGAACAATGGACATCAGTAGATACTTCTTCCCAATGGCTTTTGAAATTTATTTATTTACTTATTTATTTATATATGTCTTTTGAGACAAGGTCTTGTTCTGTAGCCCAGGCTGGCCCTGATTGCAAATCTCCCTGCCTCAGTCTCCCTCATGCATACACATACACAGGACTATAAGGGGCTCGGCTCTCCAGTCCCTCCTTTACTGAATGAAACACAATATAGTGTTTTATTTCGTCACTGAAACAAGTCTTGCTGAGTGAAATGACTTTCTGTGATCCCCAGTGAGGTTCCACTGTCAACTGGCCTCTGCCACCAACATTTTTTAACAGAACATTCCTTGACTAATACCTACTGTGCTTGTTCTGCATTTAAATTACTCAGACAGACCACTCCAGTGGCAGTGTCTTTATGAACCATGAAGAGAATCACTTAAAGCGGAAAGGCACCTAGACATGTACCTTGTATACCAAGGGGCTACATTTTAGCTTCAAGACACCAAAACCAGCTAGTGGGATATTTTACAAACTAATCATCAAAAGAATTTATTGGTAAAATTTCTTAGCATAGATTACCATTGTAAGAAACATACTATATAACTAATGTTTCCATGTCACTGCAAAAAAAGGTCCTTTGAAACAGTGCTTTACTGGTCTCTCACACACACCTTTTTTTTTTTATTCTTTTTTTTCCCTAGACAGTGTTTCTCTGTGTAGCCCTGGCTGTCCTGGAACTTACTCTGTAGACCAGGCTAGCCTTGAACTCAGATTTGCCTGCCTGTGCCTTCTGAGTGATAGGATCAAAGGTGTGCGCCACAACCAACTGGCTCAATGTTTTTCTTTCAATTAGAAAAGGTTAAGGACATCTCAGTGCTTAGGAGCCCTGGCTGCTCTGCCAGAGGACTTCAGTTCAGTTCCCAGCACCCACATGGCCGGGCGTGAGGGGGCTCATATCCATCTGTAACTCAAGTCCCAGGGGACCCGATCTCTTCTTTGGCATTCACAGACCCCTGTGCATGAATGCACAGGCACACAGGCAGGCAAAGCACATATACACATATATAAAAATATAAAAATTTAAATGTTGGGTGCCAAGCGTGTGTTGGTATACATCTTTAATCTCAGCTCTCTGGAAGCAGAGGGAGCTGGATCTCTGTGAGTTTGAAGCCTGTCTGATCTATATGGGGATACCTAGAGAGACTCAATTAAAAGAAAAAAAAGTCTGGCAAATGCTTTGTTTTATACACCCACTCTCAGCGATGTGGAGTGTATATGACTATACCCCAAGATCCACGGTATGACTCTCCGCTTTTTTTTTTTTGTTTGTTTGTTTGTTTTGTTTTGTTTTGAGGGAGAGCATGAACATACCTCCACTCCTACCAGTTATGCAGTAGAGTTTCCCAAATTTGAGGAAATCCCAAGAGTCAGCTCATCTGGAGTTCGGTCGATAGCCTCGCCCTGGGAAACCCGTCTTCACAGTCCTGGTATCTGTCCTGCCAGGTAAGGATACTTTCTTCATTTATTTTTTTTATCACAGCCTTTCCCAAATACACTTATCGTAGACTCCTTTTCTTTGCGAAACCACTTTCGGCATCTTGCCAGACAACTGAAATGCTGGCCTAAACAAATCCCTCTCTGCTCCCTTGCAAGTACTGCATCAAAATACTAGTAGGGAACAGACTGCCTCGGGAATCGTGTTACTGAGCTGGAGACACGATGCCCTCTATCACTGGCTGTGCTAGCTTTGTGTTCCGGTTTTAAACAAGTTAATAAACTTTTAAAAAGGGGGAGGGAGGGGACTTTTCCCCATTAATTGGAAAACCAATTTTATTTATTTATAGTAAATAAAACAATAATAAATAAATAATACAATAAAATAAATAAATTTATTTATTCATTCACTTTACATCCCAATATCTGCTCCCCCTCCTCCCCCTCCTCCCCTTCCACAGCTCTTCCCCCTCCCCTTCTCCTCTGAGAAGGGAGAACCTCACCCTGACCCATCAAGTTTTTGCAAGACTAGGTGCATCTTTAAAAAGGGGCTTTTGACAGCTGTATTAATTTTACAAAATACCTATGCAGCAAAATGGATACCCCAGGCAGCATTACAGCTTTATCTAGCTTTCACTGTCCCATATATCTACTTGTGCATTTCAGTAAATAAATAAATAAATAAATAAATAAATATGCCTTTGTCAGCTCACATGCTTCACAACTGAATGCAGTAAACCCTTAAGGCTGACAAGAACACCGTATGCACCCGCCCAGTGATGGCGCTGAAGCCTGGGCTTGTGTTTGCCCACGAGGCGAGTACTGTACCTCTGGGTTATATAGTCTTGGTCCCTGATCAAGTTTATGAGGACAAATAACTTTAGTCCATATTAAGAAAGCTAGGAGAGCCAGCCATGGTGACCCACTTGTAATCGCTGGACTCAGGAAGCAGGGGCAGGTAGATCTCTGTGAGTTCAAGGTTAGCCTTGACTACATAAAGAGACCCTCTGAAAATGAATAAATAAGTAAATGTGTATAGGGGCGTGAGAATATTGTACATTCTGTGCCTTTAAATTTTAAAGGAAGCCCGTGCAAAACGTAAAAACAAATACTTTTTTCGATTGAAGTTAAAACAGAACTGTAACATATTTCCGAAAAGGAGAGGTCCATGCTCGTACACTTTCCATGAGCACCAATCCCTGGGAACATTTTTTTTTTAAGTTCAAAGTGCTGAGATCCGCCATGTTGTTGGTAGGTTTATCCTAATCTAGCTTGATGTTTCTGAATCATGGTCTCGGTAAGGGGCCTGGTGGTGTAGGCTCACAACCCCAGCTACGCAGAAGCCTGAGGGAGGAGGAGCACAAGCTCAAGGGACCGGGGACTGGAGACAGCTTGGGAAGAGACTTATCCCCTAGCAATGTTCAAGGCTCTAGGTTCAAAGTCTATGAGTGAGGGAAACAAGAAAAGAGGGAGGAGGGGGGTGAGGCAGACAGGCCCATGTGCACACACAGACACACACAGACACACAACACACACACAGACAGACATATAGACACACACAGAGAAACACACACAAAGACACAGATACAGACACACACACAGACACATATATACAGGCATACAGACACACAGACATAGACACATATACAGACACACATATACAGACACATAGACACAGACACACTCAGACATACACAGACACACACAGAGACACATACACATATACATACACATATAGACACACAGACATACACAAGACACATATACAGACACACACACACACTCAGTCACACACAGACATACATAGACACACAGACCTAGACACACTCAGAAACACAGACACAAACACACAGACACACACACAGACACACACACAGACACACACACACACATACATGGGAGGCAGGTGGGGGTGACAGCACAGGGACAGAGACAGACTTCTGGGGGACTAAAGGCTGAGAATACAAACCTTATCGGTGGTTGATAGTTCATCAGCAGAACTGACAGGAGAAGGCTGGAGGTTGTACCTACAGTCTCAAGGTCACTCTGGCTTCCCCAAAGCAACAGTGATAAACACAGTTGGCTGAGTGGACTGTTTGGGTGAGAGTAAGTCAAGACTCTCTGCTCTGTGTTCCTCTATCTTCCTCTTCCTCCTCCTCTTTTGTTTGTGTGTGTGTGTGTGTGTGTCTGTGTGACAAGGTCTCTCTTTGACTCCAGGTCAGCTTCACACCCATGATCCTCCTGCCTCTGTATTACTACACTGGGATCCTAAACTCCGTTTAGACCAGACATGAAGATGGCCTGCAGAGAGGTCATGCACCCTCTCTTCTAAAGTCCTGGCCCAGGCACTTACTTCGAATGTGCTGAACAAACATGCAGGCAAAACACACAAACACATTTTATTTTATTTAACGTTCAGAAGATGGGACTGAGGTTAAATTGTGTGTAGGTCCTCACAAACTATCTTCAGTAATTACTAAGTACCAAAATCCAGATATGCCAGATATGATGGGTTGCCACTCACAAGCTGAACATGGTAGCTCAGCCTAGCGTACCTCGAAGTGCTCAGAACACTTACATTAACTAGCACAGTTAGGAAAACTCTCTAACACAGAGGCTACTTCCCAGTAGTGTTGTGTGCTGTTGGTTGTTCTTCCACCAGCACAAAGCTGACCAGAAACCATGGAACACCAAGGTTACCCACTATGTGTGCTGTCAGCGGAGGGTGGCGAGATCAAAACCCCAAACCTGAAGTATGGCCAGTACCAAGCACCGATCACCTTCATGTCATGGTGGCGTTGATAAACTGTTAGTTGAACTGTCCTAAGACTGACTCTGCCCGTGGCGTCAAAGGTTGTGGTATGCAGGACTAGGAAAGGAAACTGTGCCACCGGGGTAGACAGAGAGGACGCCTCCTTCAAACCACTCCTTTGATTCTATGCTTTCTGAAATGACTCTTTTCATCAAGTTCTTCTCTGTCTGTCTCTGTCTGTCTGTCTCTCTGTCTCTCCCCTTCCCTAACCCCCTTCCCCTGCACACACAAAGGAAAAAAAAAACGAAGGCAGACAGACTGGATCAAGTCACTATATTCTTCAGCTGTTCTCAGAGCCCCGCCTTTGAGTAGCTGAGTGACTCAGAGTCCCTGCTGATGCTGACTCACCCTTTGTGTCGCCAAGGGCACCGTGATGCAGCATTTCTGAAGAACATTCTGAGGTGCCTACAGTTCTTGGAGCTGGGCTCTTTCCGTGCGTTTTCGACTGCCGCATAAGACAGCTGCTAAGCATGTGCTGGTTCATCATTGCCCCACCTCGTCCTCTAGATGCACCTGTTTCTTGGACTAAGAGACAGAGGAGGTCTGGAGCACATGCTCCCCCCAAAGTCCCCAGCATCCAGGTCAGGTGGCTCACAACCGCCTGTAACCCCAGCTCTCAGGGATCTATCTGATGTTCTCTCCTGGACTCTGTGGGTCTCTGCACACACATGGCATAAATGTGCAAGACACACACACACACATACACACACACACACACACACACACACACACACACACACAGAGAGAGAGAGAGAGAGAGAGAGACAGACAGACAGACAGACAGACAGACACTGCAGTCTTCCTTCTGACATTTTATTCCAAGGAATTAGCCTGTAGTTTCTGAGTTTGCACACTGGTGTCTCTGATGGTCATGAACCCGGAAGTGAGGGCACCTGTGACCCTGGCCAACAGGTTGTAAGACATCTTTGATTACAAGCTGTGTTCTGAATTGTAATTTGTCCATTTAAAGTGCAAACTGCAGTATTCAGAACACCCAGAGTCCATTGACAAATTAATCTGTGTACTCCATCATCCTGAATCCTGTGAGCAATTGGTACCCATTCCCTCCCTCCCAGCCCCTGGCAACCATTGATCTACTCCCGTCTCTATGATTATGTCTATTCTGGATATTTCTTGTAAACGGAACTCCAGCATGTGGTCTTTTATGATTGCTTCCTTCCTTCCTTTCTTTCCCTAGCATGTTTTCAAGGTTCATGATTGCAATTAATATAAGAACACTTGCATAATTTTCTCATTTAAAATTACTTTTACATTGTTTTTTTATTGTATGTGTCTGGGTGTTTTGCCTGCATGTATGTATGTTCGCTGAACGTACACGGTGCCTGAGGAGGCCAGAAGAGGGAATCAGATTCCCCAGAAGTGGAGTTATAGACTGTGACCATGTGGGTACTGGGAAACAAACCCAGGTCCTCCACAGAACAGCCAGTGCTCTTAACCACCGAGCCAACACTCCAGCCCCTATATCCCTTGTTTAACACTCTTGGACTATGCAGACAACTATATTGTATTTAGCTGCTCATTGTAGGGAGCAGGTGAAGTCCCAGGTGAATATGTATTGTTTGGCACGACCACGGCCATGTCAAGGACCTCACAGCCCCAGACTCTTGAGAGTAGCAAAGTCTTCCCTAAGTGATACTCAGAAAGAGGGGTGGAAATATCTCTTCTTCATGTCTGGTTTCAAATGCTGACAGTGATTCAGGAAATGTTCACTACAGCCCCACACCAACCCCTGTTCTGGCTTAAGGTCCGCTCCCCTACAGAGACCAAACCTACAGAGATGAGCTAAGCCTGCCTTCTTGGTTAGCTGTGTATAATAACTACACCTGTTTATCTGTATGTACTAACACAGCCTTTGTTCAGCTGACTGCAGTAAGCCCACCTCCCTGTTCAATTGTATATAACAAACACCCCGTGCTTTCAAGGTACTGCGACTTTTCCATTAGAGCAAGCACAGGTCGCCCCATCCCAGCTTCTCTGTCTGTGTATCTGTCTGTATGTCTGTGTATATGACTATGCTGAACCATTGGAGAAAACGTCACGTCAAGCTGCAAAGCAGTGGTACCATCTCCCAGCAGTGTGAGCAGGCTCCCGGTGCCTGCCTCCTTGCCCATTGCTTGTTATTTTGATTGTTTTGTTGGTGGGGGTGAACGGGTGGCAAGGGGTTGTAGCCCTGCTGTATCTCAG